AGTAATGAGCAATGGACAAGAGAGTCCGTTTTCTGAGGTGGAGGAAATGGAGTTAGAGGAGCAAATGTGGCCATCTTGCCCAAATGAATAAAAGAGGAGACACAAAAACTGAAAGTATAAAAACCACTGGATAGAAGGCATGTAAAAGCCACAGGACTGAGTCACAATGAGAGAGGTAAAATTAAAAGTTGTCAACTGGAGGTCATGGGAAAAAAAGTAAAGATATAAAAAGAGGAAGTTAAATACAGACCACCTGAACTCAAAGCTGTCAGGTATCAGCAAATATGTCCCTGAGGAGCTCCAGGAAGTCGACCAGACAATCAGAGCTGTCTGCATGGGGTTTCCCACAAGTATGACCTGTTTTGTCTTACGGTGCATTAAAAGCACCACTCGGCATCCAACATAGACCTGGAGGGGTTCTCCTTATACTTAAAGTAGTAACAAAACCTGCAATAAGTGGTCCATGATTTCAGGATAAAGGGCAAACTCCACAGCCAGAAATGCAGATGTATCACACTTACTTGGTGCTGCTCTTCTTCTGAATAATCCAGTCATCTGTCTGAAAATTAAGGTCTTGCCCAGTCATCAAAGTGTAGTTTAATTGAAATTGTTTCCAAAAATCTTTCCTTTATATCGCTAGTCTGTTTTTATGTCCCTGATCCTCTCCTACAACACAGGACTAAGAGTGTGCTTCTGATCAAAGCATAATGTCTAAGGCATAATTTACCATAAAACACCTTAATTTAGGAAAAGAAAATTATGTATATATGAAGCTTCCAAGCTTGATTCAGAGGTGGTAGCTGATCCATCTCATCCTTCAACATCACCTTACCTATAATAGTCACCCATAACTATTTTACAAAATTGAAAAAAAATTGAAAATTCAAACAGAAGTTGTGACCTCTTATTCCCTTGAGTTGGGAACCATTCCGCCTGGTTTCAGGGACTGTAGCTTCGCCGATAGGTGAGAGGTCCCCAACGCTGGAACTGAGCAAGGAGGCTGTGGAAAAATAGGCCACTGAGGAGACAAAACCTGTCCCCCTGTGCCTCTGCCTCCCTCACATCACCCTGCTTGGCCACAGAGGATGGCTGGTTAGTCAATGATGGGTAAGACCCCTTGATGGCAGGGGCAACCTAAGACAGGCGCAGTCACATAGGGGCCATCAGGGAAGGACTTGGGGGACATGGAGAAGGGGAAAAAGACCCTCACCCCTCAGCTTTGATATGGCCGGGGTCCTCATTCCATCTGAAAGAAGTCTCCTTATCTCTTGGCAGCTCTGCCCTGCCCACCTGGCTCAGGCTTGAAACAATACTAAAGGCAGGTATAGCCCTAAACTGGATCAGGTGGTTCCTGCGGGGAAATAAGGCCTAGAAGTAAGTTCCTTGAAGCATGCTTTGTTCTTCCCTCAAAAGCTATGATAACTGGCTCATGCTGGGAAGGAAATTTACATTATTCACAGATCCTGACCTGAAGCAAAAATCTCTTGTGTTCCCTGAATTGTTATCTATGATCTCTGTGTGTTTTCTGTAAACATAGCGTTTTGACATTGATTGATGAGCTTTGCATCCATGCTGTATGCCCCTGTGCGTATGGTTCTCAATAAAAGACACTTCAAGAGAAGGGCTCCAGGCCTAGTCCACTAGAGGGAAGTGCCCTTCCTCTGGCAGGCCGAGAAGAGTGTCTGGGATGACTTATTTTATTTCCCCATCCATGATGACCCACAGAGTATTCTGCGGGACAGAGTCCGCCCTTCACCTCAGCTGGCACCCAAACAGAGGCCCACATATTCAGAGTCCCGCGCCACCTCACCCTTGCAAACCTGAAAATTTATGAGGTATTCTCCCCCTTTGAAACTACTCTAAACAGTGCTAAATACCTGGTTGTATTTGCTAAAATAGAAAGAAATTACCAACTGTAGCATCAGCTCAGAACAAAGCTAACAGTCCCAAGATTGGGAATCAGGGAACTAGACCCACGATGTCAAGTCCTAAGGCCATAATCCCCAGTATATGTGCCTCACCTGGTTGTTCCAAACAGGAGCACATACCCCCTTCATCTGAACCTCAGAGCCTTAAAACCATGTGCCCAAGCCATCTGCTACAATGAGACAAAGGGCAAATCCAGGCGTCGAGAGTTCTCAAATTCATTAAGAGTTCAGTCAGAAGGTGCATAATTTATACCTTCTTGGGTCTCAGCTTCCCTATTTGTAAAGAGAGGGGGTGAAATCATTTAGCAGGTGCTCAAAAAGCCCTTAACCAAATGCTCAGTGCAGCATTGGACTATATTATCTCTTAGGTATCTTCTAGCTCTGAAAATCTTATTATTCATATAGTCCCACTTAGTAGACATTCCTTTGGCTTGAACCTGAAAATTTGGCTGGAAACATAAACAGACTTCGACATAAAAACACACATTTACCAGCTATAATTTGGACTTGGCAACAGGAGGTTTCACCATGGCTGAGAGGAAAAAGTACAAACTTTTCTCCAGTGAGTAGATTACCTTCAGATACATTATAGCTCCCATCTAAAAGGCGATACAGATATAGCCAGAGCAGGGCCAAGCCACTATCATATCATGTCACTACCACACCAGGGGAGGGCGTGCCGCTTCTCTTTTGAACTCGCCTGCAGCCTTCCGTATAATCAAGAACGGCAGGCCTCTCCCTACCAGATTTGTCCTTTTCCATTTGGCAAACTCTATTTTATTTTTTATCCTTCTTCCTTCTGTTTTGCAGAGAACATAAGCCAACATGGCAACAGGCTTTTTGTTTATTTCCTTCTTTTTCAAAAACAAAGTTGTGGTTTCAGAACAGTTATCAGGACAAGGTCGGTACAGAACAAGGTTTTTCATAATTTTAGAAAAGCCCCATGTCTGAATTTCCCTTAATGAAATATTTTAGCAAAGTCTTACTATTATTCTTGCTATTGTTATTTTTTATCCAGTAATAATCATAACATCAACATGTCTGTAGAGCCATTACAGTTTAGCTATTTCAAATCCATCTGTATTTTATTTAATTATTAGACGTCAATATAGTTACCTTATTTTTAATTATGAAGAAACTGGGACTTAGTGTGACTGGCTCAAAATAGTATAACTAGAATAAACTGCTCAACTATTCAAACACAAGTCTTTTGTCACAAAGTCCAACAAACTTTTCAGAAATAAAGATTTTAAACACAACATAATAGTTTCCATAATGATCCAAAAGAGAAGACTAAGTGAAGTTTTTAACTGAGTAAACTAAATATGCAAAGAACCACCACCAACAAAATAAAGGGCAAAAGAATACAAAAGGCAAACTTGAAAGGTTTTCTTTTCATTTTAATAAAAAATGACTAAAAATAAGAAAAATTGACCATACTGTTTTTATTAGCAAGGAATCTCTCTGGTGCATGAAATAAATATAAACTTCATAAGACTCCTGTCCATTACTGGCATCAGACCTGTTTTTACTAGCATACAGCAAGATAAAATGTAGGGAGTTTGTGACATATATACAAAGACAAAAAATTTGTAAGCGCCTTTATAAGATCTAGACTCCAAACTGAATTGGAGCTCACTGGTTATAACTGGTACTTAATCATTTCAACTGATCAATTTAAAAAAAAAGCTTCTTCTATTTCCTAAGATCTACTATATAAAAATATACCCCCAAGAAGTGCACATGGCTTTTTCTCCCCTCTCTGACTCCGAGCCTTTGCGTAGGCATCACCTTATCAGGGAGGCCTTCCTGACCGTGCCTCTCTAGGTAGGCTGTACCCCTTACCCTTTCCTCAACCCGGAGCACCGATCCCAAGCTAATGTGCTTTGTATCGTATATATTTTATTTACGTCTAGTAGTTTTACTGAAATAAAGTGTCATGAGAGCAGAACACTGTCTGTCTTTTTGAGGTCGCGTCCCCTGTGTTCCAAGGGTGCTCACACAGGAGCACCAAACATTTGCGGAACGAGTGAATCCTTTCTTCCTCCGTTCCCCCCAACCCCAAAATTCAGGAGAAAGAAAGACAGACAATGAATTGAACTCTTTAAGGGGTTATTTCCTAAGGTTTTTCCTCTTTAAAACTCACTATGAATAAATTTCAACATATAAAGGGAGACCAAATAATAGAATAAACTCTCAGCCCCGATAACCATCAACTCATAACTAATCTTTTTTCACCTGTATTCTCACTAACACCCTACTCTTACTATTTTGAAGCAAAGATCAAACACCATTTCACTTCTAAAATATTTCCAATACTTTTTAAAGATAAGAACTATTTTTTTCACACTATCTAGAGTAACATAATTACCTTTAAAAAATAATAATTCTTTTGATTTTGTTTTTTCGGTTTCCTGCCTGACATGAACAGCATTTGGCTGCCTAAGTGGTAGCAGGTGGTCCCCAAAACCCCTACATGATCGCAGGCTAAGCACCGCTTCTCATGCTTCTTCTGACTCTAGTCCAGTACTTCATGATCAGCACTCTCTAGAGAACAAGTTGTATATACTCAACACAGAGTATAATGTGCATCCTTAGCCTCCCTCAGAAGGGAAAATCCAATGTTTGCTGCTATTTTTGCTGAAAGAATGTTGCTGATCAATTAGGACCCCCAATGACCAACCAGAGACTTAAAATATCAACCTTTCTAATGTAGAATGCAACGTCTGTGGATAGAGAGAGGGGGGAAAAAAGAAAAAAAAGAAAGAAAGTATGCTCGTGTGTCCCAGGACAACAAGAACATGTGAACTTTTCAAATGGCATTCCAAAAAAAAGTGGTTTTCAGTTTTGACACAAAATTAGCAGGGGAAAGTGTTCTAAGACTTTGAAGTACAAGCTGGCAGAACTCTGAAACGCTTGAGCTGGGGATTTGCCTTAAGGTGACTTAGCTTTTGGTGAGTTCTAAACCTCTGTGTAGGCTCTGGATAAATGTTTATCTACCACAGAAAATATCATTGAATTTACGAGCTTCCTAGCATGGCTTATCGACATGACTTCAACCACAGATCTTACCTGTGCCCTGAAAGCACCTTCATCAAGCGGTGGTGGAGGAGGGAAGTTTCCAGAGCCAGGTGGAAGAGCACCAGGATCATCCAGAGGTGGGGGTGGGGGTGGAAGAAAATCACCTACAGAAAGGAAACATATACATAAAGTTACTATGGATGCAAATTTATGAGCACTCTTCAAAACACATATTAGCCAGCATTCTGCAACCTTGTAATTGGCATTGACACATAATTTTTGCCTTGCATGACAATTATTCCCTATCCTTCTTCTCCTCACTTTAATTAATCACCTTAACTTTCTGAAGATTGAGGGCCAGATTCCATATTTCAAAGCAACATAAAAGCTAGGCTACAGGGGTCAGGTACCTTTAGCCAGAACAGGGAAGGTAGTTGGGGTGGTGGATTACTGAAATATATATGACTTGCTCTTTATCCTCAATAAATTTTCAGCCATGTAGAGGAGGTGAAAAATGAGAACACAATAAGGAAAACACAAGATGGAATGTATAAAGATGTACAAACAAACTGGAAGCTAAGATGAAGGAAAGCTTATGCCCAGGTGGAGAAACAAGGAAGGCCTTACTGAGCATTTAAATTGTCCCTGAACATTATGATGTAGAGTTAAGTCCACTCTTGGCTGAAAGAGAGAGTAATAAAGGCATAGACATTAAAAAAAAATAGAGCCTAAGGAATAAACAGCAAGTGACAATAAAACATAAATACAGAAATATATAATAAACTATAGCTTATAAAATCAGACCAGTGACAAAATAAGCTTTAAAATGTGTTGTAAAACTAGCAAATAGCTTGAATTCTGCCATGCGTGCAGTGAGGATTCATCAAGGATTTCTGAGAAAGGAACACTTGGTTGCAAAACCTTTTACTAAAGACTAATCTAAAAGAACATGTAGGGCAGATTATGAAAAACTGGAATGAAAAGCATTGATTTGGAAATGTATATGCAATCTAAGTAGAAAGTAATGAGGACCAAAAAGAACAGCACACTGAAGTTTGAGTTGTTAAAAGAATGTGGCTAATCTCTAAGATGTCCGTTATCAACATATATCTAAGAGCTCTATGAATTCATGATATAGAATTTTTTAAAAATATTCTGCAAGAAATTCTATTAGGAAAAGAAAGCCCCCATTTATTTAAAACTTTGTATTTGTCCTTTCCCTTTTAAAAATAATATTTTAGATGTGTTGGGAAAATTCTCCCCCCTCCATTTATAGATAAGCAGCTTTTCTTTGCATTTTGGCCATTCAGCATTTAGTGGCAGGGCAGCGGTCTCTGTCACTCAGTAAGCCGCTTCTGGAGTATACCAGAGCATCACAACTTAAGTCTTCAGAAAAAGGATGGTCGAAATTGCACAGCGGAAGGATGGTGACTGGAAGTGGTTGGCCTGATACAACTTTCAGATGTGCACATGGGCTCCATTTGCCTTATAAATAACATTCTTAGAGCTGGGAGAGTAGCTAACAGCTGTAAGTCTAGTTCCCCACCATATCCAGGCTACCGAGTAGTCTAACACTATCTTTAGAGCACTCTGCATTTTGAAGTCTCACAATGCACTAGGCACTGTGCTAAGATTTATTTTTTACACTGCTTCTTACTCCTACAAAACTCTCTATGCTGAAGGTTCTCAAACTTTGGCATTTATCAGGATCTCTGGAAGGTCTTGTTCAAACTTAAATTGCTGGATCCCACCCTCAGACTTTCTGATTCAGTAGGTCTGTAGAAGGACCCAATAATTTGCATTTCTCATAAATTCCCAGATGATGCTGATTCTACTGGTCTTGGGACCACATTATGAGAAACAATGTATTAGGCAAAGTATCATGCTGTTATTCCTACCTTAGACCTCATAGGATTAGTAAGATTCCATGAGTTCTGTCATAAAGAAACATTTCTACTTCTCTTACCCTTCTGAGTGTACTCCTTCCAAGACATACTTTGCCCACATTCCTATCAGGGTTGTAAGTCTCATAAACCTTGATTAACTATCCCCAGTAGTTCTATACATTGCCTATAATCTAGAGTCACCAAGGATGCCTTTCTAAAGACATTGATGCCAAAAGTCTATCTCACACCAATTCAGTTAGGATCTTGGGGATGGGCAAAGGGAACGAGGAGGAAGAGTCAGGTGCCAGGATTGCTCTAAAACCCAGCTAATTCTAATATACAGCTGGGATTGATAAAACCCTTTAGCCTTCATTTGTCCAAACACTGCACTAAAAAAAATTATAATACCTGTTTAATACAAAGAATTGTCACCAAGTCCTTTTATGTCTTTTAAAAGTCACAACATATGAGAAGAATGTGCACAATGATACCTTAAGTGATCAGCAAAACATATCAAAGTTGATGGAGACTTGACTACCAAATTCTAGCTCACAGCCTAATTTTTAGGCTCAAATGTCCTATCCAGACCTATGTCTACTTCATACCCCACTTAACAGAAAATCTCTGAGTATCTTCTTCTACTTCAACAGATCCTGTTATGTCATGAGAGCTGTCAGTATTAAACAGGATCAGACCTGAATGAATCTTGGAGGTCATATTATAGAGGCAGAAACAGAGGCCCACAAAAACCACAGGAAATTTTCACAGAAAATTAGTCTGTGACTAGAAAGTACAAATAACTGTCTGTCTCTGAGGTCCCTTCCAACTACACCCTTCTTGACTATATTTCTGTCATAGAAATTAAACATAGAAAGGCACAAGTTGATTATACTCTTGTGAGGGTTTAAAAAAAGCAATAAAGGAAAATGGAATATTTCTAAAAGAAATTATTTTAAAACAATATAAATCTAAACTATTCCAGGAAAAAAATAAGCAGATTTTTAAAAGCCCTACTGATAACCTCATAATAATAATCTCCTTTATTTTGATCAGTTATGAAGTTAAACCAAAGTGTTCAGTTCTTCGAGCTCAACCATCATAGGGTTCTCACTGCATTATTCAGAGTGGAGTTCACGTTTCAAAATGTGGACAAATAGTAAATGTCTTGAAAACAGATATACACATGATAAAGATATACTGTAGAATAGACAATGGGTCTTTGGAGGAAAGCAAAAATCTAGCTGAGATAGTGGGAATAAAAAATGCTTAATAACTATCTTTAATTGGACTAAGAACTATTATGAGAATTCTGATTGTAGCTCAGCATTTTGACAGGCAAGTAAACAAAAGAAAGTGCCTCTCAGTTTCAGTAGGAGTAAGTTCAGCTTAAGAGAGAAGGTGAACTTTCCCTGTTGAAAGAAGATGGCAAAATAGAAAGCACAAAGCACGTGGGTCTGTGTATGTCCATTTGTGCACATGCGTGTATGTCTGTGTGGTGAAGAAAGGGGAAATCCTTTCCATTATAATTTTTAAACAATCAAAGAACATCTGTCTTAAATGCTTAGGTGGTAATCCTCCTAGAGAAAAGCAGCTGACCAGAATCAGCAGCAATACCTTCCAACTAACTATGCTAAGCTATAGACCTTCCCATTAGTGCATGCCCTGTTCCCTCCGCAGGCCAGGGAAACCCAACTGGAACTCCCAGCCCTGGGTATTACAGGAGCTTTGAACAAATCAAGCAGGACAGCCAAAAAGGAACACTGCATCAGACAACTGGGGCAAGGTAGTGATACATGAAATCTAAAACAGAAACACTGAGCTTTAGAAGAAGTAGAGTAGTCACAGACAGGTGTCTACAAACCTGGCTTCCTCTTTACCCTTCCCTCATCACCCAAAGCCTACCACATGCAAAATACTTTTATTCATCAATTACCAGTTGTAAGAGTTCATTCTAAGTTACACAGCTCGTGAAATTCAGGGCTGGAAGTGGATCCTACCTCGGCCTTGGTGAGAAGCTGGAAAGGACCTCGTGTTTGATTTCCTCCAAATCATCCCACATCATTCAGCTAATGTCCAAGGATTTTTTTCTTTGTGCCAGAGGTAGCATCATGAGGCAGCTAAAGGGTAGGCTGGGCAAATAAAGTATAATATCCCTGATTCCCAAAAGCTACTTTATGCCAATTAAACTTCAGAAAATAGTCTGTTATGCATACCATTAACTTGAAAAGGGAGGGAGGAAAAACTCCTAAGAACCCAGCCAGCTATGCATATTTTTTCAAGTTACCCTTTCTAGTCTACAGGTAAAAAGGCAGTGACACTGAGAAGCAGATGTGGCTGGCTGGTGGTAACTGAGTTGTCACCCACTGTAGTTACCCTAGTAACATAGGTTGAGCATATAAGAAAGGTACCCAAATACAGAGCTTGCCATCCCTTCATGACATAAGGGCCCCAAGTAGGGGAAAAAAGTAACAAGACTTTACCAGCAAAGAAGGTGGTAAGGTACTGGTTATGTGTGATAGTAGTGGAAAAACATAAGGGAGTAATCAAGCTTAGATCATCCAATAAAGTCTAGATTCATTTTATAGATATAGATAGAGATTAGAGATAGAGATGAGATAGAGATAAAGATACAGCTATAGAGATAGAGAGATAGATAAGTAGAGATAGAGAGATAGAAATAGATGATATAGATATATAGACATAGATAGATATAGATATAGATAGATATAGGTAAATAGATATATCTTTCTCCTTCATCCAAACATCCATGTAAACCTGCACACATACACGGGAATTTAGATAGCACCCCCTTTTGTGCCTCCTTATACAGTTCTAACATAGCATTTCTACACTAGACTGCATTTATGGGCTTATGGGCACAGTCTCCCAGTTAGAACCAAAGCTTCTAACAAGTCGATCCCACTCATAATTTACCTTGATATCCCACCACTTGGCATGAGATTTGGGCCACTGTACACTCTCAGTAGATGCAGGATGAATAATGAAATAAATAAAAAGCCATTTAATCACTCAATTGATATATATTTTTAAATGACCTGATGCCTTTTCAAACATCAATGTCAAATGACCAAGGGGCTCTAGGTAAAGTTCAGACTCTTATTCAGCACCTGGGGAGTGAGGCCTGAGGGTGCGGATGTGGACGTGTGGACTCCACATGGGGCAGCATGACTCACGGGCTCCTCCACTGGCAGCCGCTGGTTCTCCAACTTTCTTGTGGGGAGAATTTTCAAATGTTTAAGGAAAATCTAAATGTTAAG